ATCAGAAGCTGATGCAGATCCTGCATGTGCAAAGGCTGCCTTTCCCTTCCTACCACCACGCGGGAAGGCACGTTTCCTCCTGTCAGAGGAGGGGGCCTGGACATGAAGTTTTGCCTCCATGTCCAGGGCTGCACGGCCAAAGGATCTCCAATCCTTGTGCGGAGCGTTGTACAATGCAACATAAAACTTCTCAGGAGCTTCCCTACAGAAATTTGTTAATAGGTCATCTGCAGACATGACCAAACCTTGGGTGGAAGTTAACTGCTCGAACTTTGCAAACAAAGGTTGCAGGGATCCGTTGTAATGCTGCTGCCCCAAGCGAGCAATCCTGTCAGCAGCTTTGCGGGCCCGCTCCTTGACTGCAAAGCGGTTGTCCAGCGCCTGCAGAAGACTGTCCACTTCCATTCCCGAAGCCCAATCCTCCATGTTTTTTTGCACACCGCTGGAAGTAGAAGTATCCCACTTTTGAGTAGGCCCCTCCAGCAGCCCCAGAACCGTTGCCACCTTGGACTGTTCTGGGCATATAAAGCCCCTCAAGTAGGCTCTGGTCCCTGCAGCCTAGTCCCCAACATCAGTCTTGGTGTCATCCCCCCTGAATTTGTTGGGGGTAGGGTTCTTGGGACCTCTTTGATCCCCTGCTACAACAGCTGCAAAGGTGGGCTTGGCTGTGGCTTTTTGGGAAGGGGGTGGTGAAGGGGAAGATGGATGTGAATCAGGGGGAGTTGAAGGAGAAGAAGAGGAAGGTTTCACTGAGAGAGGAGGAGACTGGGGGACAATCAGTTTGGCGGCTGTCAGCTGAGCAGTGAGATTTTGAATGGCATTCAGTATCTTGGACTGTTGAGCTACCAGGTCGTCCACCCTGCGCTCCAGGCGGCTGATGCAGTCATCCCAGTTAGTGAAGTAAGAAATGGTGGCCTTGTGTTCTAGAATGGCCCACTCCGCCAAGTTCTTATTCACCTGGGCACAGCGGTCGTCTGAGATAGCTTTGCCTAGCTGCTCCAACAGATACTCACTGTGTGAGGCATCTGATGCAGCCTCTAGTTCTGCTGCCTCCTGTCTCTCTAATTCTGCCAGCAAAGTCTGCTCCTGCTGCAGCCTTTCCTGCAACTACTCCTTTCACTGAGTAGCAGTCAGAGGTGTTCCAGGGGTGGAGGTAGATGGTTCCTGCCCTTCTACCTTCATTACCACTTCCACCTGTGGCTGCTGCTGAGCACCCTGATCTGCCATATTCCACTTTCAAAATAACAATAAATGATAGACAACAATCGAGTATGCAGCGATATACAGTTCCCTTCAGACACTATGAAATCGTCGCTATGTCAGACACAATAGGTAGGTGGGTGTGTGGGCAACAAGCAGTTTGGGTTAGAACGGTTCTCTGGGGTCAGGCGTCAGACGGACAATTAGTCCAGTAAAATCATTCACACGATTTCCTTTTACTAACCCTGCACCACACTGGAGTTAGTAGACACAATCCACTATTCCAAAGAGACACTAGATTTTCAGAGCCCACTAGAAAGCTAGAGTGATTAGTGAGAATGAAAGAAGGTGGCAACCGCGGACAAGAATGATCAAACAAACAGCCCAAACTCTAATTTCGATCCTGATGACTCTGGCAGCCATACCCTAGGGTATGGTGAAATACAGTATTCACTGTTTCCAGAGAAATACTAGAAATCCAATCAAGCGCTTCTGCAGTATTGACAATTTTTGGATTGCGATTGACTGACAACTGACAGAATTGAATTCAGACGGACATAATTGAAGTTATGATTGACCCTAGGTAGCACAGGCTATAATTAGACAACACAAAACTGCAATTCACAATATCTCTACTTTTCCAGTACAGGATTCACAGTCTGAGCATCAAGCGCAATACAGTAAAGCAGTCACAGAACAATTTTGGATGGAAAAGAGTCACCAAAGGGTAAGAAATGAGCAGAGGAAGGTAGGAGAAAGATGGTTATGGCTGTCATGCAGTCTGCGATTTTCAATTCCAGTCACTGACAGACAGATAGACCTTGAATACTCGCTAATCTAACCCTATCTGAATCGCTATACAGGTAGGTGCATGGAACGGACTCACTTTCAGAGTTTCTTGCAGAGTTGGGTGAAGATCTGGCTATGGCAGACTGGAACCCTCATCTCGCCAGTTTCTTCCGGAGCTTCCTCGTCTCTGTTCCACGCACAAAACTGCTTCAAACTTGTTGATCCTCTTCAGGATCCTGAAGTGCTGCAGCCCTTTCTGCCAAATTCCCTGAATCTGACCCTGTGGCACCCAGAGTGCCAACAAGAAATTATCTTGCCACAGGTCCCCACAGCCGATGATGCTATAAATAGCCTCAGATAAGGTTATTTTCTCCTGAGATTGATACAGACCGTCAATAACCCTCAGCGTTGCTCAGGGATGAAGCCGCTCGGAGATCCCTGAAGTCCTCCGGGGTAATTCGCCACTTTGAGGCTGTTCGCTATCCTGCCTTCAGGGTTGGCTATGGCGAATTTACCCTGTTCTCGCCACTTCCTGACAAGTGAAACGGTATTCACCAATTCGCAGTAGCTGATGCAGATCCCAGGGCTCGATCCCTAGTTCCCCACCTTACCTGTGTATAGTACCTGTGTCAACCCGTAGAATTGAACCTGCGACGTGTAGGACCGCCAGTGGTAGGAAGGCCTCCGTAGGTTACAGGGTATAGGGGATTCAAACTGTAGACCTGTCGGGTAGGAGTCTAGACAGTCCAGAGGTCTTAGCTGTAGACTTTCCGAAGGGTCGAAGTCGTAGCTGCTACTTACCTGAAAGGGCAGAGTCGTAGCTGCTACAGTACCAAAAGGCCAAGTAGAAGGTTCTAGAGGTGGCTTTCGGAGTCAGCCCCAGTTTAGGCAGAGGCAAGTGGGCAAGTGGTGTAGGTCCGCCACACTGAGTCAACACTCCCAGTCCTGTCAGTCCGGTCCTGTCAAGCAAGTACCGTCTGGGACTGTGTGCACCATGGGCCAAGGGTACAGGGCAGACCAACGCATCACAGAAGTATAAATCAGGAGGCCGCGCCCAGCCATTCATTCATTCATGTGGAAGCCATGCAGAAGCGCTGCCTCAGCGTCTTGTGCAAGGAGGTCTGCAGGAGGCCCGAAGACGAAGTGGGCGAGAGTGACGTAGTGTAGCCATAGCGATAGGTTAGCGGCGGCCATAGCCGCCATAGCAGTAGCTGAGTGTGCAGTGTGTGTGTTGTGTGAGTGTTCCGGGTGATGCGTGTGGGATATCCAGGGTGATCCAGTGTGTGAACAGCGAGTTGTTTGGGCGCTCAGTCGCCATAGCTAGCGGAAGTGAACTGTTACCTGGAAGCCATATCTCTGAGTACTGTGTGGGCGCATGTCGTCAGTTGTTGTGCCGCTGTTTACATACATTGAAAGTGTGAATAAGTCGAGTCTGACTGCACTGGTATCGGAGCAGGTACCCGCTGTCCCACGCGCGCCGTCGTGTGCAGGGTGAGGCGCCATAGCAGAGGTGGCCGCTGGAGGAGATAGTCCGCTATAGCGGACCTTCGGTTGAAGAAGCTGCCGCGCACCTGCATCAAGAAGACCACGACGAAGAAGACGAGAGAGAGAGAGAGAGAGAGAGAGAGAGAGATGAGTGATACAAGATTGGTTTATTACCTGCTGTGCTGAAGATACCGCTACGGCGGGAGAGAGAGAGAGAGAGAGAGAGAGAGAGAGAGAGATTAGCGATCCAAGATTGGTTGTCACTTACCTGTGAAGCGAGCTGCGTTGTCCCACGGAGGAGGAAGAAAGCGGCCATAGCCGCGGAGCATCATCACAGGGTATCGAAGGAGATAGAGAGGGCGGACAGAGAAGGAGGGACGGAGGAGAGAGAAAGAGAAGTGTGGAAGGAGGGATATCGAAGCAGAAGACAGACATAGCCGGGGGTGAAAAAAAAAAAAAAAAAAAAGAAAGACAGTGGGGAAGAAGAAGGTGAAGGTCCCGGCAGCCACAACCGAGTTAGAGGGTTGACCGGGCGTTGACAAGAGGGTTGACCAGGCGTTGACCGGGGGGTTGACCAGGGCATTGACTGAGGGTTGTCCGTGTCGACTCAGCGTTGACCAAGGTGTTGATCGGAGCTTCTGACCAAGATTTTGACCAAGCTGGAGCTGGTAATATCTCACCGAGCCCTCAGCCCATCCCCTTACCCTGTGGATGTGCACTTACCCCACGGTACTTGCTGAGTCTGAGTCTGTCTGTCTCTTCTTTCTGGATCGAGTCTCTTATGTCCTAGATGCTAGTACTCTGTGGATGAAGGGTAGGGCTTGGATGACGAAACCCTAGTCTGACCTTGTAGAGCTGAGGCTATGGCTGATCCAACTTTCCAGGGGGGAATAACCCTCCCAAGGACCGGTACTGACCGGCTGGAACGGTTGGTAGAGCACAGTGGGCTTGAACGACAGTTAGGGCTGACACACCAGGCAGTCCTTAAGTGTTGAGGGCGTGTTTGAACCACCCCCCTACCGGACCCAGCAAGGCTGATGATCTGTGTCTGACGACTCGACTGTTCCGGGGGACACGGACCTCTCCAAGGACCGGTACAGACCGGCGGGCTGCTCGGTGTGGCACAGTAGGCCGGAAAGGCTGAGTTGTGGGTTGAAAGCACAGGCAGAACCACGCTGGTCACGTCGTCCTGACTGCGACATTAAAGAATTCTTGAGGAGTTACGGGGGATCTCCTTAAATGCCTCTCGCTCAGCTGTTGGTTCAGTAGTGACAGCCTTAGAGTAGATTTAGTTAGTGGCCATAGTTGACAGGGTTCTACCCTATGGTCCTTAGAGAGTCAGTCAGTGGGTCAGTGTCCGGGTAGGTCTAAGTGGTGAGGAGTGGGACTTCTCTTTGTGCACCTGACACCACCATGGATGACTATCTGATGTATGGGTTACTTGTTGGGTTCTCCTTGTGGGGGACCCTCTCGCGTCTCCTCTTTCCTTTGGGCTTCTGGCCCACTTTTACGTGTAGAGTAGGGACCCGGGGTGGCACTTCCACCCAGCCGTACACGAAGGAGGAGGAGGAGAAGATGGTCGCCATTCTAAGGGAAAGGAAAGAGAAGAAAGAGGCCAAGAAGAAGGCCCTACAAGAGGAGCAGACGGCAAAGTTGAAAAAAATAGAAGAAGAGATGGCCAGGGAAAAAGAGAGGTTATAGAAGGAAGAAGAGAAGTTGAAGGAGGTGGAAGAAGAAGAAGAAGAGGGACCGCCACTGCAGAGGAGGAGAGGGCAGCACAGTGGCAGCAAAAATGACGAGATGGAGGAAAAGATTTTGGAGTGGGTCACCAACTTATCCCTGGGCGAAGAAGAAGAGGTGACTATGTACATCCCCAAGGATGTGCAGGAAGCCGCTATGAAAAAATGGGAGGCAGAAGAAGATGTTATGAAGCGGCAGGCGATGGAAGATGAAACGAGGATGGAGTGGAAACTCGCAATGATGAAGGAGAAGAAAAGGAGAGTGGACGCGGCGAGTGCAGCAGCAGAGGAATTAGCGGAGTTGCGGACCCTAACTAGACAATTGACTCCGCAAGTAGATCTCCAACGTAAAGTGGAGATCATTGCCCAGAGCGTCGAGCATTTAGCCAGGGTGCAAGAACAACAATATGACTTCAGCCGGAGTCAAGATATCGCCGTGCGTTCGATGCGGCTGGGATTCCGGGACTTTGCTCGCGAATTGATAGGTGCTGTAGGGGCTGAGGTGAATCATCGCCTCGAGAAGACTGAGCGCTTCTGTGTCGGCGCCATTGAAGGCGTCAAGGTGGCAACTCCCAAGGAGGAAGAAGCACGTCCTCGTAGGGAACCAGTCAAAGTCAAATTCCCTGATTCCTACAGTGGAAAAAGGGAAGAAAACTTTGACAATTGGGAGGCCAATATCAAGACCTATGTCCACCTGCAACAGGTCTCCCCGGACCAGCACGTGTTGATAGCAATCCATGCGCTCAGAGACGAAGCCGCCAGTTTCGCGCGATCCCTAGTCCGCGCTGCCAACTGCAATGATGATGTCGTTGCCTACTCGTCATTCACCCCCCTCGTTGACTTTATGAAATTGCTGCGCGAGCGGTTTGCTGATGTCGCTCGTAGTGTCAAAGCCTCAGATAGGCTTCAGACAATTCACTCTCGTCAGTGGAAGAGTGTCAGGGCACTCAAAGGCACAATGGACGAACTAGTGGCTGTTCCTGACCACGGGTTCACTGAGACCCAGTTGGTCAACCTCTTCTACCGGGCTATGCCCGAGTCGCTGCGTGGCCACTTCTTTGCGAAGAGCCAGGACCCTGCTATGACCTATGATGCACTCATCAGGGAGGTGGCCGCGTTTTAGGCGAAGTCTGTGTCAGTTTCTACTTTCTGGCACAAAGACTTAGATAAGGGAAAGAAGTGGAAGGGCCGCACTATCTCAGGGCAAGTGAAGACTAAGGATAGCCTTGTTCTTACTTTAGATGAGGGTAGTGTGGACGAGATCCCCTACGAGCAGATTGAGTGGGGATTAGAGGGTGAGGACAGCGGTGTGAGCCAAGGGAGAACTTATGTTGCTATCGCGGCTGGAGGGAGGCCGCAAGGAGGAGGGAGAGTCCAGGGCCAAGGGGGTCGGGCCTTAGGGGGCCGATTTCAGGGCGATCAGGGGGTTGGTGGCAGAGGAGGAAACCGCCAAGCGAGAGGAAGGGGTCAAGGTCCCCCGCAAAACCGTCCTAGGAATAGGTCTCCCTATAGGGTAGGTGGATGGCACCCAGGGCTACCGCAAGGTAGGCCTTGGGAAAGTTTGGGTTTGGACCAGGTCTTATGGCAACAACGTCTGGACCGGGGCCAGTGCATTTTCTGCGGTGACCCGGGCCATATCATCAAATACTGTCCTAAGTATAGAGAGACCTGAACGGCTGCTCAAGGGCCAAAAGGCAGCCACCGGTAGGGGTAGCAACTGCCTCTACCACAAGGCCATGTGGGGAAAACAGCGTAAGTCGGCAGGAGACTCCCACACCACATGTGCCTATGGCAGAGGTTGCAGGCCGGTGTCTAGACAGCTGCCCAGAGACTGCTTGTGTCAGAGTGTCTCTAGACACCTCCCTCACAGGCGTGGTCGAAGAGTTGAAGGAGAGGGTGCCCGCCTGGGCCAAGATGAAAAAAGAGAATAAGGGGCAGCTTATATTGGTAGATACAGAGATTTTTAGAGGTCGAGTAGGCGCCTTAGTAGATAGTGGAGCCACTCGTAGTTACATCAGTAGGAAAGCGCTGCAGAAGTTGAAGTTGCAGTTAAAGGTCCAAAAGTTAGCAGACCCTGTAGTGAGTATCCTTGCGGACAATCGCACCATGCGAGTAGAAGATTACGTAGAGGGAGTCCAGGCGTATTTCCGCCTAGAGAAGGATGGGAGAGTGGAGAAAGTCCTCCATTCATTGACTCTCCTCGTAGGGGATAGCCTCCCCTTCGACATAGTTCTGGGTATGGACTAGGGAGAGGCAGCCGGGGCCACACTCCACTTGAGAGAGCACGAGTGTAGGCTCCCTAGCCCGTCAGGCGGTGTCAAGACTGCCCGCCTGTTCCATGTGTCAGGAGTAGATAACCATCTGGCACACTGCTGCCTTAGCGCTCCTGCGTTTGCGAGGCTAGTACAAAAGGAGCAGCTAGAGGAACAGGTTTTTGTAGCCTATGTCAGGCTAGTCACTTAGCCTAAGGAGGAGAAGCCCATAAACCCTGCTATTGCCCAACTGCTGGAAGAGTTCAAGGACTTAGCCGAGCCGCCGACAGGAACAGTGCCGCGGCCCATCAAGCACCGCATTGAGATAGAACCTGGCAGTACTACTCCTAAGGGAGCTGTGTATAGGATGTCCCCGCGGGAGCTAGAGGAGCTTCGCAAGCAATTGGACGAGCTCCTAGAGAAGGGTTGGATTAGGCCCAGTTCGTCTCCATTTGGARCACCTGTTCTGTTTGTCCCCAAGAAGGAGGGAGAGCTAAGGATGTGCATAGACTATCGGGGTCTGAATGCTATCACAGTGAAGAATGTTGAGCCACTGCCTAGAATAGACGATCTCTTAGATCGAGTGCAGGGGGCCAAGTACTTCTCTAAGATAGAATTAAAGTCCGGATATCATCAGATAGAGGTACATCCTGATGATCAGTATAAGACAACCTTCCGGACTAGGTACGGGCACTATGAGTTCAGAGTGATGCCCTTTGGACCAACCAATGCACCAGCAACTTTTCAGCGATGTATGAATGATTTGTTTAGGCTATGGTTAGATAGATTTGTTGTAGTCTACTTAGATGACATTTTAGTGTTTAGTAAGACCCTCGAAGAGCACCAGGGTCATCTCAGGCAGGTCTTGGAGAAGCTGAGGGAAGCTAACTTCAAGATCAATGCAAAGAMGTGCGATTGKGCGAAGACCCAAGTCTTATATTTGGGCCAYGTCTTASACGGAGACGGCGTCAAGCCAGAAGATTGCAAAATCGCAGCGATTAGAGATTGGCCCACACYGMGCACGYTGACAGAATTGCGGTYGTTTTTGGGCTTAGCTAACTACTATAGGAAGTTCGTGAGGAACTTCTCCACTATCGCTGCGCCCCTTCGCAGATTGCTAAGGAAAGAGACCATCTGGAAGTGGGACAAGGACTGCACGTCTGCTATGAGGAAGTTGAAACAGGCGTTGATAGAATACCCTGTCTTTAACGTGGCCGATCCGTCCTTACCCTTTGTCGTTACTACAGACGCCAGTCAATACGACATAGGCTCAGTGTTACAGCAAGACGATGGCAACGGTTATAGGCCCGTAGAGTTCATGTCTGCTAGGATGCCTTCAGAGAAGGTTGCGACATCTATCTATGAGAGGGAACTCTATGCTCTCAGGCAAGCCTTAGAACACTGGAAACACTACTTGCTTGGGAGGCACTTCAAAGTCTATTCTGACCACGAGACATTGCGATGGTTGAAGACGCAGGCCAAGATGACACCTAAGCTTACTAGGTGGGCCGCAGAAATAGATCAGTATGATTTTGAGCTCAAGCCAGTGAAAGGGAAGTATAACGTAGTTGCGGATGCTCTGAGTAGGAGAGCTGATTACTTTGGGGCGATAGTGCATTATCTAGATATAGGAGATCTGCAGCAGAAGGTTAGAGAAGCCTACGCGCGGGAACCTGTCTATAGCGACCTCCTCAAGAGAGTCAAAGAGGCCCCAGAGACTGAGCCAAATTACCGCACTACTGAAGGGTTGCTTTTTGAGAAGACCAATGTGTTCGACCGGTTGTGCATTCCTAATAGTGAAAAGATCCGCAGTTTGATCCTAGGAGAATGTCACGACACAGAGGGTCATTTCGGTTGGCAAAAGACTCTAGCCAATCTAATGCATGCGTATACCTGGCCCGGAATGAAGAATGACTGCATAGAGTTTTTTTTTGTTTTTTTTTTTAGAACGGGCCCAGTGCCCAAGGCTGATATTATCAATATGATGATTGAGGCCGGGGTCCTCACAGTCTACCCGGGGGTAACCAGTGGGAACCTGCTTAGAACAGAAAATGAGCCAATACTACACTATTAATCAATTATCCACAAGACAATGCACTATTCATCTGATATCCACGATCAACAAAAGAAAGTCAACTAGCATAGTACCTCTTCACCCTTAATGGGCGCCAAATAATCATGAATCCCAAGCACTTTACCAGCTAACTATCCAAACCAAGCAATGGGCAAAAGACAATTACTTGGGGGAGGGAAGAAATCAGGAAATTCAGCCATGGACTTTAGAGGGATAGAGGAGTCAACGGTAGTCCAATCATTAAAGACAAGCTGGAATTTTTTTTATGGGATTCATGGGCTTTTGCGTGTCCACCTTCCCAAATTACGTTCCCCAGCCTCCCACCCTGGTCACCTCCCAACCAACTTCTGTTAAATTGATTAATGTGAACCCAAATCTCATTTGGATCAGATAGAAGCTGAATTTTTTCTTTAACTTGTTCCCATTTGATAGTTGAATCATTTTGTACCTGCTGTTTAATAGTTTCAGTAAATTATGGCCCGTCCAATCGTGCTCCCTCCATTTCAAAGGTACATCTCCTTGTCCAAATTGCCCATATGATCGCTCTCCTACCTATTAAGAACATGTTGATTGTGAAGTCATCTCCTTGGTCCGGATGCCATGATTCTAATCGGAGGGCTTTCCATTCCCAAGGCCAGGGTTGAGAAGTATTCATTTGATTCCAGATTCTATCCCACCATCTCCAAAGCCAGATTGACCCCGGGCATTGGAGGAAAATATGCTCTATAGTTTCGAGGATGAACTTGGATGGAAAGGCTGATTTACAAAACTTACACCATGGGAAGGCAATGCCCTTCTGTTCGAGAGATGACCTATCAATGATCCAATCATTCGTGGGAAGACATCTATGAGCAATTTGCCATTGAAGAGAAGCAATTTTGGCTGGTTTAGTTTTTTGAAGCTTAGAACCATTTCATTCTTCTCAACTCGTTTTTAGTGTGTAGGTTTCTAGGGTGAGATTGACTACGTTTCCCAGGGAGTGACCAGCACCAGCTAATGGGGTCAAAAGGAAGATGAGAGATAGGGGTGTCTGGTCTAAAGGCAAGCCATTTTTCATCAATCTTCAACACTCTAATCCTGAACAGTTGGTCACTCGAGATCCAACTAGTTTCCTCCTGTTGACCCCTGTAGAGAATGCCATCATCTTGAATTTGGAAAATTGATAGAAGAATTTGATTCTGGTTATGGATCTCAATTATATTACCGACTATGCCCTTAATATTATGAAACGCTACCCAATCATTTTCAATAAGTTTGGGACCCTTCCGTAGGATTCTGATCCACTCTAGTGGAATTAGTTCAAATATCGAATCTAGAGTGGAAGTCTGATGGTGACTATATCTAAGCTGCTCATGCAGATCCGAAGCCGACCACCAGTCTCTGCTCTCTTGATTCCATAGATCTCTAACCCTTATTATTCCCCTGCTAATCCAACTTTTCCAGGGGGCGTCCATACAATGCAGAACACACCCTTGGTTTTCCCTAATAAAAGTATTGTTGAAAAGAGGCTGCTGACAAACTTCTTCCCATGGCGACGGGAAAACTTTATCTGGGATAGGCATCTTTCTCCAATTCTTTATAAGTATGATCCAAAATGCATCCCGCCTAAGATCTTTTCTAATTGCCTGCCTATCTGAAGTCTCCTCCTGATTTAGGTCCCCTTGAGAGACTCTAGGTAAAGCCTTGCAAGGTTTTCCAGCCACATTAGGGGATCTATGTGATCAGGGACCGGAGGAGCTAACCTTTTTATCTGTTGAAAGGCTAGGAAGGACCAAAGGGTGTTGGGATTGAATATAAGACGTTTGATCCATTGAAGAGAAAGAGCCAAAGATTGAATCTG